CTCCTCCATCCCATCTGGTTACACTCTTCCCGTTTCCACCCGTTGGAAAGCTGAGCGGATCACACACACACACACACACAGGAGGACATAACTAATCATCTTCATAATAGAACAGATCCTCCTCACCTTCATCCTCTTCTTCTTCTTCTTCTCCTTCTTCTTTCCCTCCCTCTCTTCTCTCTTCCTCTTTTCTTCTGGAGGAAAACAGCACACGCACACGCACACGCACACGCACACACACACAGAACATCATGTCCCCTCCCTTTGCCAGCATGCACCACACCCTCTACGACCACCAGAACCCCCTATCTCTGGACACAAAGCATCAGCACGCGTCACATGCCTTCTTCGACGACGCCTCGCGCGGTCACGGCTTAGACGACAGCAGCATGCTGGATCACAGCTGCGGCGGCCCGGACTCGAGCCTGGACATGTCCCCCAACCTGGTGGCCAGCAGCAGGAGGGAGTCCCTCGCCCTGGGCGGCACCCCCATCTTCGAGGCCGAGGACTGGCACTCGGTAGACATGCAGTCCATGCCTTCGAATAACCCCTTCTTTGCCGCCACCGCCGTCGCCACAAACCCCTTCATGAATGTCCACCAACACCACCACCAGTCCCACGCCACCGGTGCCGCCGTCTCGTACGGCGACGCTGCGGCCGCCTGGGCCTTTCCCAACCTCGAAGTCGGCGCGGGCGGTGACTTTGACGCCTCTTCTGTCCTGAGGTCTTCCATGCCCATCAGCATGGGTCCCGGCAACAGCATGTTTTCCATGTCACAAGAACAGCAGCAGCAGCAGCAGCAGCAGCATCAGCACCAGCAGCATCAGCACCAGCAGCATCAGCACCAGCAGCAGCAGCAGCACCAGAACCAGCACCAGCACCAGCAGCAGCGCAGGCCATCGTCACCTTCCATGACCATTGTCGATCCTGTCGTGGTGGAGAGCAGCGGAAATGTTGGAGGAGGGTCGAAGCTGCCGTCGTCGTCATCGTCCCGTCAGCACAACCCGCCCAGCCCCGCCATTCGCGCTCACCGAGACGGCATCCGGAAGAAGAATGCCAGGTTCGACATACCGCCCGAGCGCACCCTCAACAACATCGACCAGCTCATCAGCGAGGCCAAGACGGACAAGGACATGCGCGACCTCAAGGCGCAGAAGCGGCTGCTGCGCAACCGCCAGGCCGCCCTCGACTCCCGCCAGCGCAAGAAGCAGCACACTGAGCGCCTCGAGGACGAGAAGAAGCAGTTCACCGCCCTCATCGGCGAGATGGAGGAGGAGATGAACGAGCTGCGCAGCCAGATGGAGCTCATGTTCCGCGAGAAGCAGGAGTACGCCGAGTGCATCAACCGGCTCACCGCCGCCCGGGACGACATGATCGTCGCCCACACCAACGAGACGGGCGAGCTCAGGAAGAAGATCGCCGTCCTGTCCGACCACGTCCGCCGCCTCGAGCCCGGCGCCGGCGCTCCTGCCCAGGTCGGCGGCAGCAGCAGCAGCAGCGACTGCGCCGGTGCCGACTTCGCCGGCATGTACTCGGCCGGAAGCCAGATGGACGACGACATGACCATCGGCGGACCCTGGGATCACCACCACGCCGGCACCGTCTTCTACCAGCCGACCGCCGACGCGCAGCCGGACGAGGTGGTCGAGGACATCAAGCAGGAGACACCCTCCCAGATGTCCGTGGTGCCGACCAAGAAGACGGACGGCGCCGCCGCCGACGTCAAGACCCCGCCCAACGGCGGCCTCCTCTTCATGCTCTTCCTGGTCGGCGCCTTCGTCCTCTCCAGCCGATCGACGCCTTCCATCCCCCGCGTATCCGAGGATGTCCGCGCCGCGTCGGAGTCCCTGCTCGACAGGGTCCTCAAGGATGCCGGCATCCAGCAGCCGCAGCTTCAGCAGCCGCAGCAGCCGCAGGGTCAGGCTCACGTCATGTCCATGGCTGCCTCCCAGCCTTCCGGCACGGTCGGCTGGTCCTCGGCCTCGTCCTCCGGCCCGGCCATGCCGTCCATGTCGGCGTCGGCAGGTGCCGGCGTCGACACGGTGACCCCCTCCATGCTCGGAGAGCTGGGTGACAGCCTCACCCGCCCCACCCAGGAGCAGAGCAACGAGCAGATCTTCTCCCTCACGGAGGCGCAGTACAACGGCATGCACAGCCAGGACTTCTTCCAGCAGGATCAGCGCTACCAGGCTCAGGCCCAGGCTCAGGCCCAGGCTCAGGTTCAGAATCAGGGAGGAGGCAGCGCCGGCCGAAAGACCACCCTGGCCGACGCGCTCTCCGCCATGCGCGTCACCGAGAAGCAGGACAGCGCCGCTCAGGTGTATACCCGCTCCTTGCTGTGGGATCAGATCCCCGGCGATGTCGTGAGGAACTTTGCCAAGATGGTTTCTGAGTGTAATAGTGCGCAGTGAGCCTTGCGCGCTCTCCATCCATCTCCATCCCTCCCTCTCTCCCCCCCCCCCCCCCCCCCCCCCCTCTCTCTCTCTGTTTCTCGACAGCTTCGACTCTGAACAGTCGACTTTTTTTTTAAAACATAGTCTTATCTTATTTCATCTCCATCCCTACTTTCTCAACGGGTCTTTCTTCTTCTCTATTCTCTTCAAACTGCTTTACCCTGAACGGCTTGATTTCCACAAAGACGAGGGGGAAAAAACCATATCTCACGATGAACGAATTTTTACGATTTCTTAATGATATTCTGTTTTTCCATTCTATTTTCTTATTTCTCTCTCTGTATTTTCTCTTTTCTTTTTTATAACTTGAAGTGCAGTCGTATCGTATCGTCTGCTTGGACCAGAATTGTTGCTCACGCTACTTTCGAACAATCTACTTTTTTTCTTCTCTCTCTTCCTCATCACCTCTTCTGCTTTTTTTTTTGCCTCTTTTTTTCTCCCTCATGATTTTAATTGTCGGATTAGCAAGCGAGCGATGTATTTCTTCTCTATGGAATCTTTCTCCATCTCCTTGGATCTTGACCGAAACGGACAACACAGACGAAGCGACAGAATGCAACGAAACCCCCCCAAATTTTTCATTTCCTCCGTTTCTTTTCTTCTTCTTCTTCATCATCGTTCTGCTCCTTGTTCTCTTCTTCTTCACACGATGTCATGACTTATATATCCGACCATTTACATTCGTTTACATACACACACACTTTCCTTGCTTCTCTTATTCTTCCCCCGTCGCGAACGAGAACAAGCTGGCTCGGAGTCTCTGTCTTTCTCCATTATTCGAGGAGAGATGGGAGGGCTGGCTTGCGTTCCAGGCGAAAGCTTCTTTCGGTTTACTTCCCCTCCCTCTCCATATCTTGATATATCTTTTTCTTTTGTCATCTCCTTAGCTGGATAGGGAGGGGGAAACTTTTTTCTTTCTTTTTTTTTCTTGGGTAGATGCATCTCTTATCTTTATTTTTTCCCCAAAAAATACATTATATAAGTTTCCATGATACGTCTTCTTGAATTTGCGTAATAGTTTTCCAGTGAAGTAGCCGATTCTGATGATTTGACCTGGTGTTTTGTCCCGTGTCAACTGATTGCGATGCCTGACTTTGTAAAAGGCGAGATTAGATATTACTGCCGAGGAAAATGTTGGTTTCGTCTTTCCTTCCTTTATCGTCTGACGACCTTGCGATATCACAGGTGCATCAGCTCCTTCTTTCAGGAAGAGCCTTTGCGTTTGTGATGATGGATAGTTGTATTTCTCTAGGATGACTCTCATCGTGATAGTTATATATGTGAGTATGCTTGTCAACAACCTCG